TACCATAATCCCCATGAAATCACACCAGAGAAAGGAATCCACCTCCATTATTATGGACAGGAACAGGTAAAAGTTACTTACATTTATGACCTCAATTCTAATATTTCTACTCCCATAAATGGGTCAAATGAAGTCAATGTTTAGGCTGACATTACTGACCTCTACATCTGAAATGCTAGCGGATGTTATTAACCCAGATCCCTTTGCTTCAAAAACATCCAAACAGTGACCTAGGAATGCAGGCCAACAACAACTTCACCTCAAATTTCCTAATATGTATACTTAACCCTTACTAGTGGCTTGGCAATTTCCACCACATATTTCTCTTAAGGCAGGTCTATCTTAAAAAAAAAGGTAATTCCAGGAAGTTCCTAAAAAACAAAAGAGCTACAAAAAGTAACAGATAACATGACGCCTGCCATACTGGGTTTTATAGGAACCACCAACATAATTCACACCTTACAACAACACGAGCAGTCTAATCATGAGTAAAGTATGGTATTTCCGTGGTTCAGAAATGACTACATCTTACATAAAATATACAAAGAGTAAATCATTTTTTCTCACCATAGCCAGGCTGCTTTCAAATGACGACTTGAAGAATTTCATGCCATGTGTAGCCAGTCTTTTCTTTTATCGACAGGAGAGCAAGGATCATCATGTTCTTTTTGCTGCTTCATCCCATGAGTAGCTGTGCCAGACCTCTTATCAAGGAGGACGCTGAGGATCATCAAGTTCCTGATGCTGCTTCACAAGGGAAATAATGGTCTCTAGCAGCTCTCTGGATGTCCATTTCTTTCTTTGCGCTCACACATTTTCCAGCTTGCAGTCTCCTCAAGATGCTGAAAAGTCCCCTATGGACACATACTCAAGCTAAAACCACAGCTCAAACACCTCAAATACATTTTACATGGGGTAACATTCAACCGTATAAACATGTGAGAACTGCACATAAAATGCATTAAACAGAGGAAAAAACACAGGAGTGGATACAAAAAACACCATTTACAGTGCTACAGAACACCTTGTGTAATTTGATGCAGGAAAGCATACAAAGTTCAAACACCCCCATCAACTTCCCCTCTCCAAATAAAAACCCCACAGGACTATATGCAGGTACCATTATGATGAGGCAAAGCTAATGAACCTCCTGGTAGCTTGTTATGGCTTGCTTCATGGATATCCCTAATGGCCACTGATGGATCCCATCATGCTGACTGACCAATAGGGGGCAGGAGGAAGTCTGTAAGCTTCAGTATTACCAAGAGGTTAAAGAGCTTTGCCAGATTAGAATGTCCCAAGATTTGAGTAAAGCAAAGAGGACTGAAGGCATAATGCTACTTATGAAAACCAAATATATAACCTATTCACACCTATCCAATTTTGCTCCCGATTAGTTCAAATGAATGGAATCGCAATGACAACACGCTTACTATTTTTACAATTATTTTACTACTACTCATAGATGTTCTTGAATGAACCTATACCTGACAGAAGTTCTCACCCTTCCCTACTCTATCCAACACTACACAAAAATGAATAAAATTATACACACACACTGAATATATGTGCTTTAGATACATTACTGCACTACATTAGATAACGGCAAACCCTACAGCATCCCTCCACTATAAGCTGAGCACACAAGGATCTCGGCATTTATGACTTTACAGTATTAGTGACAACTGGTGAAAGGATTGAAAATAAGCAAACTTTATAAACATGAGACTTAGTCTAGAAAAATAAAGGTAATATAAAGTTTAATGTAAAGCCGCCCATACTAACGTTACCGCTGAAGAGCAAGCACCATAAGCTACCAAACAATAGCATCAGTATTGCACATACAGCATGCCCCTGTAGGCTTCAAACATCCTATTCAAATATTTGCTTTGTGAATGTCCGGATTTGCATGGGTAATCTCTCCCAGCACAAGCCCAAGACACTTAAAAATGCATTGCGAGATGTACCTCATAAGAGGAAGGTGTTTTCAGAGCAGTTTAAAGTATAACTTTATCCAAATCTAAAAGCTTTGCATTGAGTGGTGAGGGTTTTGAAATTCTTTCTAAAAAGGTGCCCAAACACCTTGCGATTATCGTTTGTACAAAAAGCGGTTTTTGCTACGATAATCGGCCAGTTGATGGGAAGTCAACGATCACAATTACTGTACAACTGGCCAAACTTTGTCAGACTAGAAAACCTTTTGTTGGAATCGTACGAAAAATCAATGGCTTAGTGGCGTTTTCACCCGAAACAAAAACGCAACACGAACACTGCACATGCGCAAACAAAAATATGTTCGGTCGATCGACGGAATTCAGACAGTTAGTATTGCGGACGAACGAATATCGAAATCTACTTGGCCTGTGCTTGATTCCCCCCTCCGATCCTCCAGCGCAGACTGGCTTTGCCTCTAGATGGGCAGAGTGCGCTGTAGATCAGCCAGTTGAGTGGATCTCTACAGTATTGTCAGGCTCTGTCCTGGCTGTGGCATTCTCTCAGTATATAGCGGGCAGTAGCCCGCTATATAAAGAGCTTTGGGTCACGGGAAGAGGTTAGTATATGTCCTCGGTGTCCCTAAAGACAACTATATAAAAAGGTTACCCCATAGTTTTAAAAAAAAAAAAAAAAGTATTTGAATGCATTTTTAAGGATTTAACACCTGAGTTTAGTGTCACTTGTGCAGCCAAACATCTCTTTACTAGCAGTCAAAGAAGATTAGGGAAATATAGATTTGATAAATGGTAGCATAAATATCATGTGTCAAGAAATTGCTACAGTGAGCTCAATAGATCGGGAAGTGAGCGAACACATAGCGTTGCTCGCTCATTTCTCAATCTATCCCTGCAGAGAGCCGTGATTGTCACTCACGACTCCCGGCAGGGATTCCCACCCTCCCCTGTCCGATCCTCCAGCGCTGACTGGCAGAACGGAAGGGGGCGGGCACGGCTGGCTCTGCCTCTAGATAGCTGTCAATCTCGCAGCTGGGTGGATCTCGACAGTAATGTCGGGATCTGTCCCGGCTGCGGCATCTCAGTATACCGCGAGCTGTAGCTCACGGTATACTGAGCTTAGGGTGATGGGAGGACGCTAATTTGTGTCCTCCCGTTACCCTTAGGAGAAGTTGGGGAAAAGCCCTGACCCCACAGTTCTCCTTTAAGTGCGTTTTCAGATAAATTGAAAAACTGGTTTTGGCAGTGAAACAGAGCAAATACACCTACAAAAATACTAAATCAGGGACCCCCATCTATATTTTTTTAGCTGGGGCGGGGCAGCAACAAACAGATTTGATTGCACATGCACACTGCCTGGGCAAAAAAAAAAAAAAGTCACCACCTCGATTTCTGGAAGTGTTAACATCTGGGGTTACTTCAGTTAGTCAGCTCCAGGTTCAGCAACGTCGTTTCCCCTGAAAATAAGGTCAGCTCCCCTGATGGCACGGGCATATTCCAAGTTTACAATGCCAGGATTCATCGGGCGGCGACCGTGAAAGAATGGTTCAGGGAACATCAGGCATCATTTTCACACATGGGTTGGTCACCACAGAGTCCAGACCTTAACCCCACTGAGAATCTTTGGGGTGTGCTGGAGAAGACTTTACGCAGTGGTCTGACTCTCCCATCATCACTACAAGTTCTTGGTGAAAAATTCATGCAACCCTGGACAGAAATAAATGATGCAACATTGCATTTGCTTATCGAAACGATGCCACGGCGAATGCGTGCCGTAATCAAAGCTAAAAGACGGTCCAACAAAATATCTGTGTGGGACTTTTTTTTGTGGCCAGGCAGTGTAGACATGCAAGTATATCTAAATCCTGAACTCTATTTATAGACAGAATAGGACATGGTTATAAATGTGTTTTTATTTTCTGCTGCCAGCATCCCATTTGCGAGATTGCTTTTCATTTCCTGTCCCGGAGACACAACAGGAAGGGAGAGACAGTGAAGAGATAGTCAATCTTCATTTTAACTGGAACAGTTTTCCCAAGGCCTCGTCTTTTGACTGATTGTTCATCACTTTCTGGTCTCAGTGACAACGGCCACTGCGACTCAGAGAGCGTTTCTTCCCTGTGAGGACACAGACAGCAATGACACCCGTCATCAGGGATCTAACTCTTCTCTCCTCTAAAACTGTACATAAACTTTACGAGGCTCTCTGGGGACTGAACACACGATTACCTTACAGAGCTTGTTGTGGAACAGTGACTTCACACTGCATTGTCCTGAGTACAGGTTTCCCCTATAGGGAGGAGATGTACCAAGAGGACGTGGACATAGAAACCCTTTTCATGGAATGCAACTACAATTCTAGGTCACTGCGAGGTGTATGACAAGACTTTCCCCAGGTCCATAATACCATATTAAAGTGCTAATACAGCGGACGTAGATGTCCGGAAATCTGTGAGGCAACAAATACAATTCATCACTTCCTCATAATATAAAAAAAAAAAAATGGAGGACACAGCTGAATTTGTTTCCTTTTTAAATGTGAACAACTACCCGGCCTGTCCAGCCCTGCAAACTGGAAATAGTTCAGGACTTATGTTTACAAAGTAACATAAAAATGAGGAAACCGTCAACACAAAGAACACATGAAGTACAGAGCAGAAATGACTCCACCTCGGTGCCCCCACCCCCCATCTCTACGACTCCACCTCGGTGCCCATCCCCCCATCACTACCACTCCACCTCGGTGCCCATCCCCCCATCACTACCACTCCACCTCGGTGCCCCCCCCCCCATCACTACAACACCACCTCAGTGCCCCTTCACTACAGTGCCAGTTATCAGCACAGTGCCACTTCAGTGCCCCCATTAGCACAGTGCCCTATGATTACAGCCCACACATATGCTGTGACATCCCTACTACTGGAGTAGAGAAGACAAGCTCAGGCCGTCTGAGTACATCGGTGCTGATCAGAGGATGGGGACCAGGAGGAGCGGTAATTACAAGCTGCCTACGCTCTGCCCTCATACACCGGGGAGAGGAGGATAACGTACCTTATCCATCAGCTTCCAGCATTTCTCCACCGTCTTCCGGTCCACGGCTCCAGGTTGAGCGGTCGGGTGGTGATGGTGCGGCTGAAAAGCGTCTTTCACCATGCCGATGAGTCCGCCGCCTTTCCGCATATTGGTCGCCATGGTGGCGGAGAATAGACACAGGCACACGGAGTAGCAAGTCACCGGAGAGCCCCGCCACCCCCGGACACAGCCCTCCCAGTGAACGCCGGGCAGGGAGGGGAGAAGTCTCCCAAGGCCGAGCACCACCGCCGTCACTTCCGCTTTCCCAGTGCCGGGAGCGCGCACACACCGCGGATAGTGTACGATGAATATGCAGAGGAGCCCCGCCCAGGGCGGCGCTGCCGAAGGGCGCGCTCATTGGGGAGCCGGGAGATGGCGCATGCGCAGAGTGAGTAGTGAAGTCTGGGGAGCGATGTAGACATTGGTGCTGAAACTTTGCATTGCAAAAATTTGAAACCGCAGCAATAATGTCTATATGTACTCTTAAAGGGGAACCTCACCCCCTGTATTATTAATATTTTGTTAATCCTCGCTTACTTTTTTGGAATATCCTCAAAACACATCTAACATGTCCAGAAAATCAAGCATTGCCCTCCTGTAATTTGCACAGTGTCTTTATTATTACTTACGCCATCAGTTTGTTGTCCGGTTCTTTTAGCATGCACCTCATGCCGCACATGCGCAACGGCTTGTCATCAAGGATCCAGCTGCTGGTACTCTGAACAGTTTGCCCCCTAAAAATGCTCCCCTGAGGATGCGTGACCATCGTATCCCAGCAGGCTGAGGGCAACTGGACCCCCATTCTGGCCTAGGTGAGTATCCAGGAAGGGCCAAAAAGGGTCCCAATAAAATATATTAAAAAGAAAGTTTAAAAACGAAAAGGAAAAAAAAAAAGAAGGAAGTTCTTCCGAAGCATGAGAAGACATGAGGATTTAAAAGGAAGAGCAGCAACAAAGAGAAGGGAAACAACCATGGATTACAGTAAGGCACACATTACAGTATTGGTTTATGTTAAAAAATCTGAGGGTTTAATGTCACTTTAAGGGCTTGTTCACACCAGCAGGTGCATAATGCACGCTGGTGTGTGCTGCAAAGGGTGTGGGGTGCATACCGTCTGCTTTACCAACCACCCTTGTTGTCCCACCACAGTGCTGGGCTTCAGTAAAAATATATTTTAGTAATTTTTGGATTTATTTTAATTGGTGCTGTTATGTGCAGATAAGAGTAGTATAATTTGTTATGCTATAATGTTGGTTCCAACCACTTTCCAAATAAGAAAAAAAGTAGAGCTACAGCTAACGATTATTTTCAAAATCGATTTCAACTGGTTATCATGGCAAGTGGGCCATTACATTTTTTACTTTTTAATCACCTTTTTATTTTTGTAATTTAATAATGTTTTGTTATTATTTTTTATTAATTATTTTTTTAATCATTTTTTTCACTTAACTTTATCGCTATCACACAGGAGCTAACAAGCCCCTGTGTGATAGCATTTGGAGGTGACAGGTTCTCTCTATTGACCCTGTCACCTCCATGAAAGGAGTTCTAGCACAGCACTGTGCTGGAACTCCTGTGACAGGTGAGAGGGAAAGAGTGCTCTCCCCTCTCACTGTTTACATGGAGCGGCAGGGTTACTAGGGATCCCAACCTGAAAAAAGCAATTTCAGGGAGGTGCCCTTCTCATTTCAGGGAGGTGCCCTCTGCCCCCCCCCATATCTGCTGGGGTGAAGGGGGGGGAGGAGAGAGAGAGCACACCCCTGAAATGATGGCAGATAGCACAGGAAGCAATGGCTTCTTTGCTATCTGCAGGGTTTTTTTTTTAGTATTCTGACAGCTGGTGCCATCGGAATAAAATAAAAAATAAAAAACCCAGCATAGGAATGCATAGCTAGCTTCCTATTGGCTATTTCACTTTGCAATAGCCAATAGGAATCTAGTTATGCATTCCTATGCTGTTTTTTTTTTTTTCTGGCGGACGGCGGCTCTGATGTGAGGAAAAAAAAAAAAACTGAGCAGGGAAAGGGTTACTCTGCTCGATCGAGCAGAGTAACCCTTTCCCTGCTCAGTTTTTTTTTTTTTCCTCACATCAGAGCCGCCGTCCGCCAGAAAAAAAAAAAAAACGGAGCAGGGAAAGGTTTACTCTGCTCGATCGAGCAGAGTGAACCTTTACGGGAAAACGGAGCCGGATGACGGAGTCAGCGGGGAGGGCGGAGCACGGACGACGGAGCCCGGATGACGGAGCCAGCGGGGAGAGAGGTAGATGCGGGGTGAGGAGGACAGCTGCAGTCTTATTACAAGTGATCCCGGCAACATCGATGAGATCACTTGTAAACAAACAATTGGCTTCCCCACACTACATTTAGTCCGGCTTGTGCAAAGCAGGACTAAATGTAGAAAGCAGCTTACCGCCCGGGATTCCACACCGTTGCAGCCTTTCATTCGCCCGGCTATCCCCCCCCCCGCCCGGTTGTTACGCCACTGCCTACAGAAGGATTGAACACTGGCAAGCAAAAAAAATAAATCACAAGCCAGCCCTCCATGTAACCCCTCCTCTACCCAGCACGCTTCATTTTTTTCCTAATGTCCTAGGAGGTTGGATGCCTTGACTTTAATGTCACTTCAAATCAAGATTCCACGCTGCTCGAGATGGTCTCTATATTACATCTATCTGGATCAGCATTTCCTCAGCCTAGCTGTAAAACCACACTAGACTTGACATGTGGAGCAAACCTGGAATGTGACCTTACAATATGGGACATAGTGCAAACAAATGAGGGCTGGTTTTAAAGCAAGAAAGCATCTAATATGACATAATATAACCTGCTTCAGTTCTTTTTATGATAAGTTTGCAGATAACATATTTAAATGTTCTTGTCATGCTAGGGTTATAATTGCTTGCAAATACACAAGACCATATCAAACTATTTGTGCTGCTAATTTTGTTTCCCACTTACTCAAAAGAACTCCCCCACCCCAGCCACCTCCCTAGGGCAAATGCCTGACATTCTTATCAAATAAGATAGCACTATTAAAAAGAATTCTGATGATATGTAAAATGTCTTTCAACTGGCAACACCAATTTCAATGAATAGAGCTGTGCTCTAGAAAGTGAAGAAGCCTTTCAGTGGACCATACTGGGCGTCATACTGTAAAGTGACCTAGCAGGTAAAATCATGCAAGGGCAAGGTCAGACTGCACTGAGTTGTTTATATAGTGAGTGGGGTGACTTCCTCACTCAGAGACAGGAAACTCCCATCTTCCTCTCTCCGATGATGCTCCCTGTTTGGCCATAAGAAAGAGCCTGGGAGCAGTGAACAATGTTACAGAGTCTGCTCAGACAAAGGAGGAATCACAGGTGGATGGAATGGCAGCCAAGCCAGAATGCTGCAAACCATTTAAGTCAGGATGGAAGCCTGACACAGAGGCTTTAAGGACGCTCTGGCACCATCCCCCTTAGAGTCTGTCTTTGACACTCTTGAGCCCTTAAATTAGGCCAGATTTGTGGCCTCTGTCACCATCTCTGATTCTGAGTACCCAAAGTATGTCTCTGAAGGGACTGTTTTTGAACCACTGCAGTTTCCTGCTGTTGACCCAAATTTACAGGCGGTTGCTTTAAACCTTATTGCAGTTCATCCTGCATCTGGAGGATCAGCCTGCTTTCTCCAGGACCAGTCTACAGTATAGACTGGCCCTTAGGCTCTGTAGTGTAGGCCTTTTTTTTTTACAAATCTGCTGCTACAGCAGAAGATAAACATGGCCAGTGTCCTAATTGCTAGGTTGGCCGTTTATTGTCTGTGCTACGCCTCGATGGCAGGTACCCAAGTCCACTATTTTGCCCAGAAAGCCATACCTGACTTCCACCAGCATTCTGATTGTAATGTGTCTGTGGGGTCAGGGTACACATGACCATGGACATAAGGTCCAGTAAGCAGTAAGTGGGAAGGTATGCTAAACATCCTTCTTTGCACACTGGTCTATATTTTGGAGACTGGGATAAATGAAGGACAGCACAGTCACCTATACCCTCTGTTTCTTACTGGACTCATCCTCTGATTCTGTGGAACCAGAAGCCCCCCCATGTGCCCAGAGCTAAAAGCTGCTTAGCTATGTTGCAGCTCGTATGCATGGGAAACAGGAGCCACACTGGCACAGAGCTGTTGGCAGCTCTGTAGGCCCAGGCCAAGAGGATGCTGACTCCCACGCCATCTTCAGTTAGTAAAGGTTATGCGTGGCAATAGCACTAACCTGCTGCCCACTCTTCTTCCGGAAAAAAATCACACATATACCTTGCCTTAAACATGTCCTCAACCTGCTATAGTGCCTTGGCTTTCATCGTTTATCAGGCCAGAAGGATTTGTGGCAACTTTAGGCAGTGTTCGCCTGGCAGAAATGCAGCACCGACATTGGCTGCCTGCCAACTGCCTCATCAGTGACAGCCCCACAGGCTGCTGTTAACAAAGAGATAGCTATTAGTTGTTGTGGACAGATATTGGTCTTTTAAATGTTTTTGAGTGTACAGTAGACATGTGCACAACAAGAAAATTTGTTTCCAGACGAATCAAATGAAAAACATTTTCATTCGTTTCATTAAAGGAAACTAATTTTTATGTTGTTGCCACCGAAACTGCACACTAAAATCGCAGAACGAGCGGCGGCCATATCGACCGCCAGTGCAGTCTGCGCATGCCCGCCGCCATTTTGGAGTAGATCTTGGTATACACCAAGATCTACTCCAAAATGCTGCCGCTTGTTCAGTGTGTGACGTCACCGTCATGTGACGTCAAACGCTCCGCCTCCAAGAGGGCGGCGGGCATGCGCAGAATACAATGTGGCCAATGTGGCCGCCGGCGTGTTCTGAAGACAAATTTATGTATGCCCAAATATCGTTTTAGTATATTCGGGCATATATTAAATTCATTATTTCGGATTCGGACGAACCGCCGAATCAACTCATTTTCATTGATTTGCAGGCTTGTCCAAATCCAAATGCTCATGTCTAGTGTACAGAGATGTGCACACAGGCAGAGCATATAACACTGCAATTCAAAGAACTCAAGCCTGGTTTAATCAAGAAGATGTAAGCCAAACTACTAAAATCTCATCTTTGCTTAAACTTGACAATACCACTTGGAAAGTCTGTTTTTATTTCAAAGGCTAACTTTCATAGAGATAATAGCTTCTGATACTGGTGTAAAGGTCCTTGTT